CCCTGTAAATGTTCATTAAAATTAATAAAATTTAATAATAATTAAAAAAAGAAATAAACTTGAAAGTTATCTATTATTGACAGAAAATATTTGCTTGATATTTTGTGATGTATGGGGAATTTCAAAATATCCTGGTAATTACGGTATGGGTATTACTTCAGAGGTTTGATTTATTGGGATGAAAAATCTATTCTCTAAAAAGCAGTGCAGATGCATGTATTGCATAATTTTATGCAGCTGTATCTCTCTGACCCATCTCCTATTTAATCATATGCTGAATGGAAAGGAGGCTAGAGTGCTGACAGGGGATCAAGTGGGATCTTCTTGTGACAGGAGAAAATGAGTAGGCACACCAATATATAATGATATGCCTAGCAGCAATTTACTGCCCCTGAAAAGTTGAAACTAATGGACAAAATGTATTCCTTCTAGTCTACTAGGAGATTGACTGCAATTAATAAAACTTTCAGAAACAAAGAATAGAACACTGTTCATTTTTTTTAAATCTCAGAGTGGCTATAATATTGTAAGGTTTTAAAGTAATTTTAACATGATTGGAGAAGAAAATTTTGCTTAGTGACTCTCCAAATTACATTGTTTAGAAAAAGTGTCCTTTAAAATGTTCCTTAGAGTCTGAAAGACAATTTAAAATTTTATTTTTACCAATTCCAAAATTTTATTTATAAATATGATTATGTACTATTGTCATGACAGGAGTCCAGAGAAAAGGCTGCATAGCGGAGTGGACTTGGGGGGGTAGGGATTGTATAACAATGAAGGAATTTTTCTTTTACTTTTCAAAGAGAAGAGCAAATTGGGGTGGGGGTGGGCAGGGACAAAAGTGCAACAATGAATGAAGGGAAATCCAAAGTCTCTGTAAACTTTCATAAAAATTAATAAAATTGGTATTCAATTTGAAAATAGATTTGGAAACAAACATATTGAGAATATATATAACATGTCAGTATTTACTATAATATTTTCCTCCACTATAGAAAATAGTTTTGGAAGCAGGAGTGACATCCACTTCCTAAACAACATGCCTCTGGAAACTCGATGAACATTGATAAATGATGATAGATATAGAAAGGCTTCAGGCTTTTTTGTTCATAGGGTCGCTACGAATGATGCTTGACTTGACGGCAATCAACAAAACAATATTTACTACTTGGCAAGATAATATGCTTCTGTGTTGTTTCTTTAAATTTACATGTTGTTGATAAGTGCTGTCCAGTCAGTACCAACTCATAGCTGACCTCGCAATGGGTTTTCAGAAGCAGCAAGTCACATGGGAAGACAGTACACATCTGTTTTTCCATTTGAACTATGTGCCATTGGTTTGGCAGTGCAACTCTTTACCACTAGGGCACCAGAACTTCCTTACATTTATATAATATTTAGAAATTAATAGAATGGATTATTACAAAGAAAATGAAAAAGAAGTGGTAATCGTGTATACATTTTCTTATCTATAAAATGGTTTATCTCTTTTAGGGTAAAACATTTGTTTTTACATCAGTGTTATTATAAAATAAATTTTCAAAAATTAAATGAAATGAGATACTTGGTGTGATTATTAAAAAGAAATTTTATTTTTATATTTGAATTATTTAGCAGTTTATATCAAAAGGTTTAAAACAATGTGAAAACTCATTATACACTCTTTTTTCTTCAAGTGCTTGGTCTATAACTACCTTTGAAAAGGTCTAAGAAAAATTACTAGCTCAGTAGCAATAAGCACCTCTCGCACCAAGATTGTTGTATTTAAAAGTTGTTTTCATTTAAATAAAAAAAAAGTATAGAAGTCATTAATCCTGGTAGTTGTGGATGAACTCAGATCTGAATGACAAAACACTAAGATGAACTTGCAATGTCCACACAAGGAAACTACTAACATTTTTATTTACATCTCGACTTTTATAGCTGATTAGAGAGGTTTACATAGTCTATAAAACACAAATATACATTCTTCTGATATTTTCTGCTTTCAGCCATGATCAATTTGGCAATAGAAATGATATCCCTGGTGCCACAATCTCTTCAAAAATCAGCTTGTACTTCTGGTAGTTCCTTATCAATGTACTGTTCTAGGCACTTACTTGTATGAGATATTACTGATCTTGTTCAATAGCTTCCACATTCTGTTGGATCACATTTCTTGGAAATATGGACAAATATGGATCTCCTCCAGTCAGTTGACCAGTTAGCTGTCTTCTAAATTCCCTGGCAGAAACTGATAAATACATTGAGGGCTGCATCTGTTACTTCAAACATGTCAATTGATATTCCATCAATTTCTAGGGCCTTATTTATTCTTGTTAATATGGTACTTTCTGAAATTTTCCCACGTAAATAAATTCTTTTTGGTATGATTCTGGGTATTCTTTCTCTTTTCTTTCATGTTTCCTGGATCATTTAAAATTGAGCCCATAGCACCTTTCAGAATTGCAACTCAAGCCTTGAATTTGTTCTTCAGTTCCTTAAGAAGTACTGAGCAAGTTCTTCCTTTTCTATTTCCTGATTTCAGCTCTTTTGCACATTTCATCATATGCAAAGGCATGTGACTGCATAGATTGTAAAAATGTAGGGCTCACCTTGAGAAGAATTGGTCTCAAAAATAGAAAGACCACACGGAGCCATTAGGGAGCTCTGGTGGCCTAATATCAAGGGACTTTATTTTGAACTTTTCATAAGCCTCAGTATAGCAGGTTTCTTAAAGTTTGTGGATTCTGTTATTTTGATAAGAACATCTAGATGTCCAGTTAATTCTCTAGACATTAACAGAAAGAGAAATACAGCTTATTTTCTCCTTATTTTAAAGGTTTTACTGACATTAAAAATGTAAATTTAATGTTAAAAAGAAAATGAATTATAGTGATAACATAACTGAATATGTAGTAAAGGCTGTTCTTCTGGCTACTGCAAAAGTTGGAGACCTGCTAAAATGAGTTAGCAGTGCTTATTCTATGATTAAGACAAATAAATAGAATTCCAAATAGTGCTAGAATCAATAACAAACTGTGACAAATATCACAAAATTTTAAGATGTTCAATTTTAAAATATATTTTCATTAAATAATTCAAGTAGTGATTTTAAACTGTAATCATTATAATAGTAATATATGATCTAATTCACTGCAAACAAACATTTAAAAAAGCAATTTTACTTTTCCAAAAGCATAGTGTACTAGGGGGGAGGATAGGGAAGGGAGAAAAGTGCAGCAATGAATGAATGGAAATCCAAAGTCTCTGTAAATTTTCATTGAAATTAATAATAAATTTAAA